AACCCCATGAAGGTGGCCTTCCCAGGGCTCCCCTTCCCCTGGGTGCACAAGGTGGGCTCAGAACCACGGCCCGTGGGGGGGTTGTTCGGTTCTGTCCCTGGGCGCATCTGGAGTGTGGCCTTCTGTCCTCACCCAGGCAAAGGGGCTGCAGAGGCTGCCAAGAGACAGTGGCAGGAAAGGCCAGGCCACAAGAGCCAATGTCCCGGACTGCTGTGGCCGCACCTCAGCTCCCCAGGGCTGTGAGCTACGTGCCATCTGCCACTGCTCAGGAGGGCTGGTGACCCACCAGAGGTACTGCCAGGCTCTGGGGTGGCTGGGGGAGAAGGAGGGGGACATTTGAGGTTATTGTGGCTAAGATGACAGGAGGCCCAGCTATAGCCTGCCCTGTCCACCTGGCCTGCATCCTGCTCTGCCAGCCTGGGACACATAAGTCTCCAGAGGCTGTCCCCAGGGAAAAGCATAATCACCACCCACTGTCCCAGGACCAGTGTGGTGATGGGGGCTGACGAAACAGAGCCCTGTCCTTGTCCATATTTAAACAGTGGACACAGAGGGGCGATGGGGGAGGCTGCAGTGAATGTGAGTCAAGGTCATCCTGGTTATCAGAGAAGCAAACAGATAGGGACTAAGTCCATTGGCCAGATCCCCAGCTGCCACCCATGCTGCCACGGTGCTGCCTAGGGGGTGCATAGCCTCTGCAGTGTGACCACATCTTGGCCACAGTGACATGAAACATGTCTCTCAGGCTCCTGAAGCAGAGAAGGGAGGTGACAGCCCAGGCCAGGTGGCACAGGGATCCATGGATTCGACTGGGGAAGGATCAACTTTACAGTCCCCAGTGCCATCCCCCTCCAGCCACACCCCATGTCCCCAGTGCCCTCCTCCTCCAGCCACAACCACCTCCCTCAGTGACCCTCAGGTAACCCCCTCATGAGTGACACCATTTTGTGGCCTCCTGGGACCCGGTGCAGGAGCTCAGCCCAGAACAAGTCCCTCCTTACTTGTTGTTCAATAGTCCACCCCTCAAGCCCAGGGTTAGGGGGCCTGTTGAAACATCAAACACACACATGCCCATCTGGGCACAGATCATGAGGACAATGTCACCATGGGAGTGTTGTTCGGTGATGGTGGACGTTGGTAGGTGAAGAGGCGGGAACGGGATCAGTGGGCATCACAGAGCCCTCCAGAGCCCTGAGACTCATCACCAAGAGAACACACCTACCCCAGCACCCACCTGAGGACCTTGCTGTCCTCCTGGGTCAGCGTCCAGGGTCCCCACCGCCTGACCAGTGCACAGTCAGACACGCAGCCAGGGCGGCCTCTGTGGGGACCTGAGTGGCTTCCTGGAGGCTGCTTGGTGGGTCTTCAGCACAGGAGTCAGAGGAAACTGCTCTCCCCAGGGCAGCTCCCTGCCCAGCCAGGTCACAAGAGGCCAGGACACTGGAAATCTCTATTCTGCAGTGCCTCCATGAAAACACAGTGACAGGGCCCTTTCGCTGGCCATGCCCAGCCCAGACAGCCTCCTGGGGCCCTGAGCTAGGCGGGGTGGGGCTCACCCACCTGTGTTGAGGGGGTGCAGCACTGGAATCCCTGAGCCCCTGGAGCATAACCGCATGCCCACACTGCAATAAAACCTGAAGTCCTCCATGTTGGTCCTTTCCCTCCCACAGGAGCCGCAGAGAGAGGAGGAGTCCACCTTGGATGGGTCAAGCCATTAAGCTGGGGGATTCTTGGTGGCTGAAGCAGGACCCTCTCATTCTGACCAGTGCAGCCAGAGTTCGTGAACGTCACTCAGTCTTCACCAGGAGGATGTGGGGGACACAGGTGCAGAGAAGGAAAGGCCAGCAGGGGATGTCCCTCACCCTCCTGTCCTTGACCAATAGTTCCAGGGCTGCTACTCACTCAATGTCATCTGGGAACACTGTGAATCAACATAATGATCAGAGATAACAAAGTTTTTTTTTTTTTTTTAAGAAATTTCTTTGTGCTACTGGAACAAAGATCCCAGTGAACAGGAGTTAGAGGCACATATTAAGTAAAAACATCTTGCTGAGTCCACAGCCATCCTCTCAGAATAAACCCTGAGAGTTATTCATGTAATTGCCTGGATTTCCAAGGTGACCTTGAGCATTATGTTTTCAGGAGGAAGTCACTAAGTGAGGTGTGACAGGACTGAGACCCCAGAGCCCCAACTCCGCCTCCCACTGACCAGGACACTGAGGAGCCCAAGCCTCCCCTCTCCAGCCTCCCAATGGCAGGATGGAAGCAGGAGACCCACCTGTCAGGTGTCCTCAATGTGCTCTGTCTTCTTGTCACTTAGCCAACCT